GTGAATTTCGTATGACGTGCACTATTTTATATTGCAAGTATTATTTGTGCTCTAATTATGCAAGGTACGTTTAGAGGAAAAGGTATATGATTGGTGTAATGATTAATTTATTATTCATTTATGATTATGCAAGCAGGATGAGTAAAGGAAGAATTTAAGTCTTCTAAGAAGAGGTTAAGGTTTTGGGGTGCCTTATGCACTCAAGGTGTTTATACACCGAGGTAGTAAAGGAATAAATAATAAAGTTGCTTGCCACTAATAAATCAAGAATTGAAATTGAAAAGTTGTTTTACTTGATTGAATTGATATTGGATTGATTGTATTGTTATGCATACAAGTCATCACCAAGTCTAAGCCTGTAAATCACGTAAAGTGCAAGATGGATGAGCAATAAAACTCTGGATTGGTGCACTTCTGGAGTAATGACAATCAGGGGTTGGGGTACATGGGGTATTAGCCGTGTACTTTTCTCGAGGCCGTCTGATCTACGAGTCTCTTATTTCAAATATTTTTCAAAACTAGGAGTTAGGTGAGATCTCATACTAACTATGGTCACGGAGTCGCGCCCGTGGTCGTTGGATGTTTATTGATGTTTTCGAAAGGAGGCATGGGGTTTTTCTTTTATTGATGTTCCAAATGGAGCATGGGTTGGACAACCTTGTCTATTGCGTAATCCAATGAATAAAAATAATGATTTACCTATTATTAATTAATGGAGTCTTAGTAATATAAATAGTTGAGTCATGTGTTGAGTCTATAATTTAATGATGCATGATGATTGATTATTAGTAGCATGTTATGGATTTCTTAATTTATTTTGCAGCTTGTATGTACTCAGCTTTGCTGATTGCGTGCTTTGTGTGTCTTTCTTTGGTCATGGCCTTCACCTTTCAATGACCCTGTGACGATCCAATTTTTACACTTGTAATAGTGGGGAGCAGAATTACCACAGGTTCTTACACATGCAGCATTCATCAGGGTTGTGGGATCTTGAGTAGAGAGTTGGTTGTTTGCATTTTATTTCTTTTGCAAGTTTGAATTTATTTTAATTCGATTTTATTCGACACTATTTCTTTTGGGTTTGAATTTGTTTGAACACTGAATTTAATCACTTACTACTTTTATTGGGTTTTGAATAAGGGCCTTAATGGTTCCAAGTTGTATGACTTAATTTGGTTTCATTCATTGGTTTTGAAACTTATTTATAACTGATTTAATTTTTCCGCTGCTATTTTCTGATAAAGCCTTAACGTTTGAACACGTGGCGGTAGCACGCCAGTAATTCTCTTGAATATTGTTCAGGGTCCACACAGGTTTAAAGAGAGAATTATTGGGGTGTTACAAAGAGGCACATCCGTAGCCCATTTATGGTCCCAAAACATAGTTTTCGAACCATTGCCAATTGCAGTCCTTAACCCTTCATTCAAGACCTTTGCGTATTCCGTGATACCACTCCAAACATTCAACATCCCTGCTTTAGGTTCAAACATATCCACATCACAACGACCTTTACAATATTTAGCCCTTAAAACCCGAGACCAAAGAGCATTTGGTTCAGAAAGAATTCGCCAACCTAGCTTGGTGAGAAACGCCGCATTAGCTTGCTCCGCAGAAAAAATTCCAACCCCTCCTTTTTCTTTCGGCCTTTATAAGACCTCCCAAGAGATCAGGTGAACACCTCGTTTCTCATCATTACCTCCCCAAATAAATTTTCGGGTTTTCTTATCAATTTCTTCACATATGGTCCGAGGAATCTTAGCCGATTGCATGGAGTAAAGGGCCATGGTAGAAATAGTAGACTTAGCAAGGGTAAGTCTACCGGCCATTGAAAGATATTTTTGTCTTCCATCCCACAAGACGCCTATCAATTTTTTCACACAAATGTTGAAAGGTGGCTTTAGTAACACGGCTTGTGAGAGTTGGCATGCCCAAACACGTACCAAGATCATCAGTGTGTTCCATATGCAAAGCAGCGCTTATCTCATGTTGTTGATCGAGGCTCATATTGGCTGAGAAATAGACCCTTGATTTTGCAAGACTAACTTTCTGAACAGAGGCACGACAAAACCTCTCAATGCAACTATGAATAATTTGGGTTTGATCAACACGTATGAAAACTTGTGTTTAATAATACAGTAATACATAATTGAGATTATTTTTTTTAAAAAAAAAAGCGCCTTAATTGAGATTATTAAAACCATTTTTCTAAATTATAAAACTATCTTTACCAAACAAGATCTTAGAGTTGAGTTTGAACACACAAAGCTCGTGACATGTTTCCTAAACTTAGGCTTACCGCTTACACTTCTAAGCCATCTAGGTTACGGATCCAATAATTAAATAAAATTAATAATAATAATTAAACGAAAAACAAACAACATTAAAATTACAAAATCCCTGTTAAACCCTCTTTCACTCCTCTCCTCCATACTACCAGCCACCATCTACAAAACCTCTGCAAAACCCTAGGAGAGAGAAAATCTCCACCCTTTCTCCCATCAATGGCGTCCGACGCAATCACTGAACCAGCAACCACCACTGCAACGACGGAAGACATGGAACTCGAGAACCCGCAACCCGGCCAGAAGGATGACGCGAAGAGAGAGAGGGAAGAGGCGGATGATGCCGAGGTGACTGCGAAGAAGCAGAAGGTTGAGGAGGAGAAGTCTGTAGAAGAATCGAGAATGGAGAAGTTGGAAGAGGAGGGAGATGGGAAACCCGAACCTGAAGGCCCGGTTGTTCTCGGGCCTAAGACGTTTGGATCGTCTGTTGAGATGTTTGATTACTTTTATAAGTTGCTGCATCATTGGCCTACTAATATCTATTTTAACAAGGTATTGTAAAGTTTGGTTCTTTTGGGCTTTGATTATTTTTATTAATTATTTGATTAATTGTTTTTGGTGTTAGTATGAGTTAAATTTGTTATTTTTATTGGGAAATTTGATTTGTGTTTAATGTAGAACAGGGAAGAAAAAAGATTTAATTTGTATGTTTAATTTGATTTAATTTGAAAACTTTATTGACAATATATAAAAAAAAAAAACCCTTAAAATTTTGCTATATGGATGAATGTTTGCCTTGTGGACATGGTGTAAAAGTGTTTAGTGTATTTTGCCTAAAATTTAGGATGTATATATAAATATAACCTACCTCATGATTGTAGAAGGTTTGAGGAGAAGTGAAAATATACTAAGATTAGTTTTTGAATAATGGATTTTAGAAAAAGATTTTCTTAATTTATATAACAAATTTAACTAACCGTTTTAATCAAAAATTTGAATTAAAAAGATTTTGTTTTTCTTAGTCGATGGTCAATTTGGATGTGAAACTCTCCAGCTTCGAAACCTTTTCCAATTATTATCAATTTTGAGCTATTTCACAAGATATCGAGGTTTAAATGTATTTTCTAAGTTGATCAAAGACTCATTTTTTTTTTATCTCTTCTCTTTTCGTAAGAGACAATTTGATTTCCATTGGTTTTGATCTTCGTGAACAAAGGTCATTACTAATGTTTTGAACCCAATTAGGGTGGAAAGGAAATGTATGAATACCTTTTGTAAGATATCTTTCAGTTTTATAGATTAAAATACAGAGATTTCCTTTAAATTAAATCTTGAATAACATCAATTTTGAGATGTTCAAAAAGAAAATAGCCTGTTTGCATACAATTTTCCTGCTTTATTATTTCTTAGCGACAATCAGTTTCTAAGGACATAAGGTAGGTATACTTTCAATGAAAATTTGGGTAGTTTCTTTCCATCTTTTTCTTTTTTTGGAGTTGTCATGTTTGCGCAACTTCTTTATTCCTTTATTTCTTTTGGGACAGAGGAGGGGATTTGAATGTATTGTGCCAAGATTTTGTAAATGAGATAACATGGTGAAGGTTTTGCGGTAGTTCCTTGTTTTATTTTGGGTATAAGTGTATTACAGCATTGCAGTGTAGTGGGAAGGGTGGCTTGATGGTGTTTAGGTTATAAAGGTTGTGGTTGGGAACTTGGGGAGGGGGTTCAGACTTCAGACTTGGGGGCGTTTCAGATTTAGCTAGGTTGTGGTCAACTGGGGGGGGGGGGGCTAGTCTTGTGCGTGTTGGGGGGTGGATGTTGGTTGTGGTGGAATTGTGTTGGTTGAGGAAGGTGGGCAGGTGGTCATAGTATGGGGGATTCTGGGAGTTTGATGAAGCCCTTGAGGGTGGTGGAAATCAGAGTAGAGAGATTTTAGGGAGCTGAATATTGAGAAAAGGGGAGTGGAATTCCAAGAAACGGCTAACAAACAGCCCCTTAGTTTTATACATGCCTTGAACCTTTGGTTATCATTAAGTGGCTCTGGTCATTTCTTTGTTTGTTTCATGCTATGTTCAATGTAATCATCCTGTTCAATGAGGAATGGAAAAGATTAGCTTTATATTTGAAATATACCAAATTTCATCAATAGGCTTGTGCAGTTATTTTTATTGTTTCTTCTTTTTTGCTCATTTGATTGATTTTCAACTGTATTTTATTTTTTTGTCCTGATATATGATCCTGTTCACATGCCTCAGAACTCTGAAGAACATATACTAATCTACTTTCAATAGATTATACTGATGTTGTCAAATTCCTTGTATTCCCCTCTTCCAGTATGAGCAACTGGTGCTGCAGGAGCTGATAAACAAAGGTCATCCAGAGCCGGAGAAGAAGATTGGTTCAGGAATTAATGCTTTTGAAATTCGCCAACATCCAGAGTGGAAAAGTCGCTGTTTCTTTGTCATAAGAGCTGATGAATCTGTAGAAGACTTTAGTTTCAGGAAGTGTGTAGATCACATTCTGCCTCTGCCAGAAAATATGAAGATTAAAACTGATGTGAACAAAGCATTGGGTGGTGGTAAAGGTAGTGGTGGTGGGGGAAGAGGGGGTGGGCGTGGTCGTGGTAGGGGAAGAGGTGGGGGAAGAGGGGGCAACAAGTTTAGAAGGTGAAAGCTGACCTAAGTTAACTTAGAGCTTGTAAGAGTATTATTGCCAGATATGCAGGTGCTACTATGCCTATATTGTTGCACCAAATCTATGTAATATCAAGTTTTGGCTACAATTTTATGAATAACTTCTTCCTTTAAGGTTATTAACTTGTGTGTGTGGATTTTTTTTACTTGCTATATTTCTCCATTGATTTTGGGAAGGATTGCAGTTGGTGTCACTGTCAACAGGTATTAAAGGGAAATGGCCGAATATTATTTTGGCATGGCCATATCACTTTTATTATCAAGGCGCAATCTGCCAACCAAGTACTTCCTACGGAGTATATATTATGCATTCCGGCATGAAGCCTATGTAGGCAATGCAGCATTATATGGCAGATAAATGATTTCCGTTGCCAACAAAGGTGATTTTTTTTATTTTCTAAATTTTAATTATAATTTAATTTTTGAAAATAATTTTAAAAAGATAAAAATAGATTTTTTTTAAAAAAACAATAATTAAGTATATTTAAAAAAAATACATTTATTTACAATTACACATAACATCCGTAGAAGAGTAATTTCAGGAAGTGTGTAGAAGCAGGTATCACATGAAGTTAGGAATACAGCCTTACAGGGCAACGACCAACTATTTTGGCATGGAAAATCCTACAAGTATGTAGGCAATGCAGCATTCTATGACGATGAATGATTTTGATTGTTGCAAAATTTTTCTCAAGCACTATTCTGCAGTGTCGATTAGGTTTTCAAATAACCCAAATAAAATTCAAGTATGTAGAGAATGAATTAAGATGAAGGGGAGAGAGGTCTCGAGTAGGCTAGAGTGCGAATTGGACTTCTCCAAATTTTAGCCGTCCCTAATAATGTTACTCCATAGTTGTAACTACTCGTAATCAAGTCCATATGATGTACGGATTGTGAAGTCTCGAATTTCTTTACTTTTACAGTATTTTCTCCGTCCCTTAATATAATGCCTCTTTCTCTTTATTATGTGAGAAATAAATGCGCAAAAGAGACATTGTATTAAGAGACGGAGGGAGTACTATATATCGTCTGGCTACAAAAACCAGCCTTATAAGTGTTACGACCACAATCACAAAAGCGTTGCTCAATGTGTCATGTATGACTCCATGACCAAAGTCATCCACCATCTTTCTTGGGATTTAGAGTAATTTTGCGCCTCCAGTAAATGTAAATGAATGCAGAATTATTTTATTCCACATATACAATCATTTTCATTATTCCGTTAAGGTAATGATGGAACAGTGAATGTACATAAATGATCAATCAAAATGAATTGTACTAGTACGTAAATTCCATTATTTGCATGAGTGTGACATTGATTTTTGTTATTAATAGCACATTTTAATTTACAAGCCAAAACTGTTAAATTATTTATTTCAAGTAATCTTTTCCGATTTGGAGTACACTTTGTACAATTACCGGAGTATCTTTTTAGCCTTTCATAATAATTAAGAGTATCATTTTACAATTTCAAGAAATAAGCATCTTTTTCCAACATTACTCTTGTAAATATTGATAAATCTAATCCATCACTAAACTAAAAAGTACGGGTATATATATACTCTTATCCGAGTGTATAATTATAGTTGTAATTTATAACTCGTATTTTTAGATCAATAATTATATACATGTGCTAACATAGAATATATATCATACTCGTAATTTTTTTGGTGTTTAGAGAGCCACATGGACAGATGATGAGATTTAATCCTAAGATCTCTTAGAACCGAGGAAACTTTAACCACTTGAACTATCCCTTACTCTCAACATAGAGAATAGTTTACTTATACATGTACAAGTAGTATATAGATTGAATTTGTGAGCTATGTATCTCTATAAATAATGTACTACGTGTCTCTACTGCTAAACAATGGATATATCGTATACCTAAATGTTAGAATTGTACTAACAAAATACTTAGCACTTAAATACGGAGTAATTTTTTTTTTAGAAAATGCTCATTCATAGAACAAATTTATTTGGAGAGAATTAAATCAAAGTACGGGAGTATATGGAGTAATTTATGTACACTAATAATTAATTAATCACACTTGGTACGATCCAATAATGAGTAAGACCACTGAGAGTGAGGAATAGCTCAAGTGGTTAGAGCTTTCCTCCCGGTTTCAAGAGATCTTAGGATCGAATCTCACCACCACCCTTGTGGCTCTCTAAACACCAAAAAAAATAATGAGTAAGACCACTCACTAATAATTCCATAACTTAACGTGGTAATTAAAAACCATCATATGCCGTCACATAAATTAAATGTAACAATTAGCAAAAATCTCTTTATATTCCCTCTTCATTTAGTATTTCTGTCGTATATGAACACTAGTATAAATATATGTATTTCTAAATTGATCAAACTCGTGTTTTACGACCCTTCAAAGCCATTTTTTTAAAAAAAAATAAAAAATAAAAAATTACATTATCCTTCTCTCCCTTTTCCTTATGTGGAGCAATAATAATCTTGCTCGTTGGTCTCTTTCAAAGAATGACGAACTTCACTCTATTCAATCTCATCAATATCTTGATCCCAATAAGTAAGGATTACTTGATTTTCTTTTGTCTAAGCATTTAACATGTAAATATGTCATCCATAGTAAGTCGCGCAACTTATAATTGTAATATGCTTTAGAACACATGATTCAACAATTGGGGATTTTTCTATTTTTTTTCCTAACGTGACTAAGTATGTTGAACACGACTATACTTCTCGTTATTTGGGGTTTTTATTTTACATACTATTACAAACTCGGGGGTTCTAAATTCATTTTTTTTTTTAATTAATCGCATTTGGATGATTTGGATAATAATTTATTTTTTCTTTTTTCGGTAAAGTGGATATAATATTCCATGTGATTGGCAATACGAGCTTCCCTTGGATGTGAGCATGATGGATGCAACGCCGTTGATAGAATGCTTTCCAAATGATCCTACTTATCCTTTCTTTACATCCCTTGATATTGTGTCAAACTTCACTATTCCACATGTTATTGAAGGTAATCTTTTTATCTATTTACGTGTATAGTAATTCACAATTTTATTTTATTTTATTTTTTTAATTATAATTTGGCATATACTTATGCAATTGTATCTATATTCTAGTAGTATCCAAGATTTGTGGAAGAGTTGTCTTAATTTAGTATGAAAACGTACATGTACATTATACTCTTATGTACTCCTACTTGATCATTAATAAAAAGGTCTATAAGATGGAAATTTTGTTTCGATGGATTAGGCAAAGAATTCATGTTTTAAATGCGCAAATTTCCCTACCCAAAAAAAGAAAAAAAAAATTAACTTACACAACTAACTATTAGTCGCGTTTAGGTTAAATTACATACGTTTCAGTCAAACATAAAGTCTATTTTGCTTTGCTTGATTATTATATTACTATTAGTCCTGTATTACGGAGTAGTTTCCATATTTGTTTGTGAAGAAAATCAACTCGCTAGTAAATTCATATATATACTAGCATAAAATTTTCATTTTTCACAAAATTACTAATAAGGATCCTAGTATGTAATACTACGTACGTAACTATTACTTGGTCAATGTGCTTATTAAGCAAAATGTTCATGCAGACAACAGCACCATGTACAATGACTGTGGACATGGCTTTGAGGGGTTGCAAGACTTGGAGTTGGAGAGCGTGCCGCCGCCATTGGCGTTGTGCAATGATGAATCTGATTATAGAAAGGATAATCTCCATGAAAACAAGATTAATAACGAGTTAAGATCATCTGAAGAACAAGAAAATTATAACAATAATAATAATAATAATTGTTCGTCTAAGGCACTTTCAAAGGAGATAATTAGCCAGTATTTTTACATGCCAATAACTAGGGCAGCTAAAGAACTTAATGTTGGCTTAACTTTGCTCAAGAAAAGATGCAGAGAGTTGGGCATTCAAAGATGGCCTCATAGGAAGCTCATGAGCCTCCAAACTTTAATCAGGAATGTTCAGGTAATTAATTTTAGGGTAATGCTATACATAGCCCTTAGGGCTATATATAAGCATTGAATTTACTCTTGGAAAATGTATAAAGTTAGGAATTCATGATAAAAACACACGCAAATCGGTGTAATTAGTGTGTTTTTGTCATGATTTTCTAAATTTAAACAATTTTCAAGAGTAAATTAAATGCTTATATGTAGCCCTTAGGGCTATGTATAACATTTTCTTTAATTTTATTCTAATTTGTTACTAGCTAGGTAATTTAATCATTTTTATCATTTTATTAATTATCACATTAATTTTACGTACAATTTCCTTATATCTCGTGAATATTAACAAGGTCCATTAACAAGAAAGAGTTATGTCCCCTCAAAAAAAAAAAAAAAAAAAAAAAGAAAGAAAGAGTTATGTGACCATATATACCGCAACTTATGACACTAAATGAGTAAGTGCTTTAGGCAGGTTACACTAAAAACTTATCGATATAGGTATTGGTGATATGATACATGTTATAACATGACGATAAAAAAGGATTTTAATTAAATTAAATATAAGGACATTTTTCTTAATCAAATAAATTGCGCAATATTTTATGATCTCCATTTGATTTAATGTGTATCAGTCTTATATAATGTGTATTGTCACGATAAGTTTTATTGATTTAATTGTGCCACAAATATATACGTGTAGGAGATGGGAAAGGAGGGAGGAGATAAAAATGAAGCAAAGCTAAGAGAAGCCATCCAAATTCTAGAGCAAGAAAAGAAATTGATGGAAAAAATGCCTGACCTACAACTTGAAACTAGAACAAAGAGACTTAGGCAAGCTTGCTTTAAGGCAAATTACAAGAAAAGAAAGATGATCAACAACTTGAATTACGATGTAAGCTCCCAATCTTGTTCTTCTTGTGCTAGCAACTCAACCGATTACGCGAATTTTGGGACTAGCAAGGGTGATGATCAATATGGAGATGATGTTGTGGATGCTATGGATGACGTGAACTTTTCTTACTTTTGCTCATGATCAATTTGTTCATGGTGATATAAGTTTAGTCTTAAAGGGCATAATAACAAGAGTTACATCTTGTAACTCTGTTGCAACTTTTGTTTAGTTTACCTTAATTTAGATTATGGAAGAAAAGAAAAATGGTTAGTTTTTGCTTGGATGTTTTTCTTATAACTTGTTACTCGTAGCAATTAGTACCAATATATCCAACCTTCCAACTATAATATTCTTATTGTTAAAACTAAAAAATAAAAGTAAAACTCGTATGATATATATCAATTTAGTATGGTATATTGTACCAATAACTACGCATCCAATTGATGATTTTATTTCTTATCTTAAAAAAAAAAATCCAAATGAAAGAGTTTGTATTTATCATAGAATTGTTATATATATTGTAAAATTTTATGTAAGAAGGTGTTTTAACTCAATTATTCGTTTGCAATGTTTAAGATTAATAAAAGGAATGACAAAAGGTACAATTTCTACTAGGTGTTGATACAAATACTTTAGCTGCTATCTAGATTTAGAGTGATTTTATCACTAATCTTGATGAGGAGTCTTTACCAATTAACAGGGTTAAAGTCTTAAGTTGCTTTTGAAAATAAAATCATGCTCAAGACTTTCAAGTGAAGTCGTGAAGAAGCATAACTTTTTGGTGCTAACAAAAAGCATAAACTGAAAATGCCAACTTTTCTCTTTTAATTTCTTTCTTTCTTTAATGTAGATGTCAACTAATTTAGTTGGTTAAAGTTTAAAGAATTAACAACCAAGATTTAAAATCAATTGCCGTCTACTAATTTGAATATTATATTTATATGAGTCATCCTGTAATCCCGTCTACTTACATAAGTTCAAATATTGTATCAGCCTTATTAATAAAAAAAATTACACGTAGAGTCTGTTCACATTTACTTAATTTCAATTCAGTTCAGCTTAGTTCGCTCCAATCAGTTCAGCTCAATTCAACTTCAATCAGTTCATGATATAGGAGAAATAAGAAAAGATATTTTAGTTAGTTTTAGTGGGTAATTCTGCTTATTAGCAAAGTGGTTATTTTCATCTTTTGTCCTTGTGTTCTTAGTTTTATGATAACTAGATTAGAGAGAATTTTTCTCTTAGGGTCATGCCTTGTTAATGCACCTTAGGTTGTAATTGGAATTAAGAAATGAATTAACAATCCTATCTATCTTCTCTTCTCTCTCTAAACTTCTTCTTCCTCAAGTTTCCTTTCCTCCATTTTCCCCTGTTCTGGTGTTTTCTTCTCGCACCAAAACTCCCTTTATCAGTTCAGTTTAGTAAATGTGAACAAATCCGTAAATTAAAAATGTGACTGTTTAGAATGACAAACACTTGTGAAAACTTACCAAGTTTAGGCGCGAAGTCCAGTCGACTATCCCAGCACCTATGACCCCAACTTCCCTCCTCCGTCGTCCTTCTTCCGTCACCTCCATTTTCTTCCTTCGTCTCTTCTCTTCATCTTCTTCCTCTTCTCTCTCTCTTCTCGAAGAAGACGACTCTGCAACTCTTCCTAACTTCATTCCTGAACAACCCAGATTTCAAAAACATAATCAATGGCGGCAAACCCTAGAATCCCACCTCCAAAGAAGAGAACACTTGTTTTCTGTTCTACAATCTTGTTCTACTCATACCCATTTCCTTCAACTCCATACCCAATTCATCTGCACTGATCTTATTCAACATCCTCGTCTTTCTCTCAAGTTCCTTGCTCGAGCTGTCAGAATTTGCCCTCAGAATGTTAGGTACCTTTTTCGAATTTTCAACCAGATTTTGATGCCTACTTCTTTGCATTGTAATACCATGATTAGGGCTTTTTCTTGTAGTGAAATCCCTTCTGATGGGGTTAGGTTTTATCGGATGATGAAGCGGGAAGGTATCAAATCGAATCAGCTTACCCTTTCGTTTTGTATTGATTGTTGTACTAAGAATTCTGCTTTGATTGAGGGAATGCAGATTCATAAGAGTGTTTTGGTTGATGGGTATGAGAGTGATTGTGTTTTGATGACTTCTTTGATGGAGTTGTATTCGGGTTGTGGGCGGTGTGATAATGCGTGTAAGGTGTTTGATGATATGCTTCAAAGAGATGCGGTTGCTTATAACGCGTTGATTTCTTGTTTTGTAAATAATAAGAGGACTAGAGATGCTTTGTCTGTGTATAAATCTATGCTGACCCTGGAAAGAGATTGTAGACCTGATGAAGTTTCTTGCTTGCTATTGATTCAAGCTTGTGGTGAATTAGGCGCGGTAGATTTTGGTAGGAGTGTTGTGAATTACATGGAGAAAAATGGTTATGGTATGTCAATGAGGCTAAGTAATGCTCTTATTACCATGTATTCGAAATGTGGGTGTGTGGACGATGCATATTGTATCTTTGAAAGAATGCCTACAAAGAACTTGGTCTCGTTTAGTTCGATGATATCAGGCTTTGGGATCAATGGGTATGGGAAACATGCCATTGAACTGTTTAGGGAGATGCATAGGATGGGCATTGCCCCTGATGCTAAGGCTATTACCGCGGTATTATATGCCTGCAGTCATAGAGGGTTGCTGGATGAGGGGTTGCTGATTTTTGAGAAGATGACTCAGGAGTTTGGGATACATCCGAATATCCATCATTATGGGTGTGTTGTTGATATTTTAGGCCGTGCTGGTTCACTTGACCAAGCATATGATCTTATCGTATCCATGGAAGATAAACCGGACATAAAAGTTTGGAGGACCTTGCTCATGGCTTGTAGAATACACAAGAATTTTGGCCTGGCAGAAAGAGTGATTGAGCATATAACGGAACTTAAGGCCCAAGAGGCAGGGGATTATATTCTGTTGTTGAATACTTATTCTTCAAATGGCAAATGGGATAAAGTAAGAAAACTAAGGAAATTTATGGAAGAACAAGGAATCCTTACAGTGGGGTGTAGTACTATTGAAGTGAAGGGAATGGTGCATGAATTTGTTGTAGGCAATGTTTCGCATCCACAAAACGATGATATTTATGAAATGTTCAATGAAATCTTGCAACAATTGAAGATTGCTGGATATGTGCCAGAAGCATCATCAGAATTACACGACTTAGATTTGATTGAGAAGCAAACTGCAGTCTCTTTTCATAGTGAAAAACTAGCTATTGCTTTTGGCGTCCTCTCTACTCCCCCTAGCACAACAATTAGAGTTGCCAACAGTGCTCAGATTTGTGATGATTGCCACAACTTTGCTAAGGTTTTTTCTGCTGTTTATAATCGAAAAGTGATAATCAGTGATCCAAACAGGATTCATCATTTTAGAGAAGGAAAATGCTCCTGTGATGACTTCTGGTAGGTGCTAGGCAAGTTAAATGATCTACTTCCATATTGAGGATAATACTTGAAACATACTAGTAAATTAACACTTCAAATTATAGCTAACTTGCTGACAGAAACAACTTTTCTTGGGTTGATGTATAATTGGTAGCTGTGTGCTGTCATGGAGTATTTTTCAATCCTATGATATTCTTATGATTCTTATGAATTTGAGAAGCACATATTCCAGAAGAGAAACTATATGAATTGCAGCTGTTCGTGCACTTTCTTGACTTTTATAGTTTTATCTATATGTTTCTATTTATGGGAACTAGTCTGTTAATTGCAGGAACAACTAATATATACAGAAATATTTCTCAAATAAAAACCAGAAAATCAAACAGTTTATTCTTAAAAATGAGAATTTTTTAAACCAAATGAAGCCTCTTGCTGAACTTAGCCTTGCACAAGTATCAAATGCTGCATGTTTTATTTACTTCTCTTGAAAATTAGTTTGGCGGACTGTGTGAACTGCAGACTGATAAGCATACACAATTGTAAGAGTTAGAATTACAAACATGAATTATTGTGTCAATCTCCTCAAGTTTATGTAGTTACAGGTTGCTTGTGGACAAAAGCCACCCCTTTATCAATACTTGCCTTGAGTTCAGGCTTTAGAGCCTCCAACGCCTTGGCTTCAAACTCAGTCAATCCCTGCAACTCTGAGGGAATAAAAGCCTCAACACCTTTCCTCCCAAGCTTAATCCGTGAGGCAAAGAATGGAAGCTCAGTCAAATTTGACTCTACGTAAGCACACTCATAAACATCTGCATCTCCATCCAAAGCCCTCAGAGATGACTCCACAAATCTCGCAGCAGCATATGCCATTGACAGTGTAGCAGAACCTTCTCCAGCCTTCGCCTCCACCACTTCTGTCCCCGCATTTTGGATTCTCAGAGTCAATTCTTGCACTTCTTCATCGGTGAAACTCACTGATGGCCTTGTTTTTGACAGGATGGGCAGAATAGTGATCCCGGCATGCCCTCCCACCACGGGAACATCAACATCAATCAGCTTCAAGTTTTTCTTCTTCGCAACAAATGTGTTTGATCTAACAACATCTAATGTGGTAATTCCAAAGAGCTTCTTTGGGTCATAAACTCCCTTCAGCTTCAGTACTTCTGCTGCTATGGGAACCATGGAGTTCACTGGGTTAGTTATTATGTGGATGAATGCTTGAGGGCAGTTATCAGCAACAGCCTCAATCAAACTCTTGACAATACTGGCATTTGTGTTGAAGAGGTCATCCCGAGTCATACCAGGTTTCCGTGGGACTCCTGCAGGAATGACTACAACATCCACACCCTTCAAAGAGTCAGCAAGCTCAGAAGTCCCAGTAAAACCGATCACTTTAGCTGGTGTGTTGCAGTGAGAAACATCTGCTGTAATTCCTTTCACATTGGCTATATCATAAAGATTTATGTCCGAAACTAAGGGAGACATTTTGACCAGAAGCGAGAGTGGCTGTCCAATTCCTCCTGCAGCACCTAGGATAGCCACTTTGTAATAAGATGCTTGAGGATTCAAGTGATGTTGGTAATTCTTACAGTACTTTTGAGATCTTGGAGCAAAAGTTCGTACTAGAGCTGCATTACTTTCCCTTCCTAAGAAAGAAGTTTCTGATTCACAGGTTACATCAGCAGCAGCCTTGAGGCCACTGAAACCTCTCAGAGGGTATTGGGAATTTACAGTTATAGTTCCCGGTTTTATCTGATGAGGAAGGTTGGGTTTAGGATTGACATACGGTGATGCAATCGAATAAGTCGATGCTGCTCTTGCTGCCATTCTGGATTCCTACAGAACCAATAAAACCCACATATTGGCACAAATTTAGAAGCAGTATTGATCATGTTATCTTAGAAACTGTAAAAAACTGTTTATGACAGCAAATCAATTACTTGGTTGCTACTGGTACTGCACTACCTTGAACTTCCTCATTTTGTATCATCTATTAATGCAACAATGTATTATTATAAGTCACTTTAAACTTCTTAAGCAATAAACTTGTTAGTTTCCCATATCAATACAGTGACTTGTAACTAACTAGTCTAAATACTAGTATCTTTTCTGAATAAAAATTGCAGAACCATTTTATGCAAATTACAGCTCACGAAAATCGACCGTTAATGAAGTTAAAAGAAAAGAGAGAGAGAAACCTGGTAAAGGCAAACTGTAGGCAGGTCCTTAGTATTCGAGCGGTTGGAGTTGGAGCAACAAACAGGCAGCAAGATGAGCAACTACACACGGACCTCTGTTTTTTTTGGCCTTTTTCAGCTATCTACATCTACCAGTTTCTAAACTTTATTGTATATTTTTTTTTATATGATTATTATTTTTGATATGTGAAGGAAATTCTCTGTTTGTTGATATCATGATATAGCAATGATTAACATAGACCGTAATCACATATTGTTAGCTTCTGTAGTTCAGTACCCACTACCCAGCCCAGCCCTGCTCCTATTGAGCCTATTGGGCCAATATATTGGGTAGCGCTCGCCCAAAATATATTTGCCCGCCATTTAAAGTAGAGGTGATCATTGGGCGGGCCGGGCCGGGTTTAGCTTCAGGCCAAAATTTTGTGCCCAAACCCGCCCAAAATGTCGGGCCATGCGGCTTTTTGGGGCCAACCCAAAAAATCAACTAAATTTGCGTAAAAGTGTATTCCCAAACCCGCCCAAAAAATTTTATTTTTCGGGCCGAGCCGGGCCGGAAAAATCTGCCCAAACCCACCCAAAATCGGGCCGGGCTAACCTTGATTACCTCTAATTTAAAGTGGATGAAGAGGTCGAGTTGATATGGGATCAAGCAAGATAACTCATATGTACTTCCTTTGCTCACTTTTAGCTGTAACATTTAGAAACATACTTATTAGTGCATAATTTTAACACTTTATATCTCTTAATACAAATAGCTAAATTTGATATTTTAAAAACATACACAAAAAAACACAAACTCCTTCACTCAGTTTTTTAAGCTAGCCTCACCTCTCTTATTAGCCAGCTATGTATGTAAGGACTAAGGAGTATTAAAAAGTACTTATCAACAACATCTTATCCTACCTCATTGTCTGTTGACCACAAAAAATAGAAATTAATCAAATAATTGATCAAAAATTTTACATGGCAAATTTACTAGCCATTGGCCTAATAGTTTATTAATTATGTAAGTAATATATTTTCCAAATTAATTTCAAGTCCAGAATTGACAACAAAGTGATGCAGTACAATCATATCTAACTCTATACTAAATCCTTCTATTTAAAGCTTATTAATACAAAGTATTTTGATAGCTAACTAACTTTGTACAAGGCTATTGCTATCTAGTAACTAACCTCTGTGTGACCTCTGCCTCCACAAACACTGAGCAACCCTCTTCACTGAATCCTATTCTGTACGTAGCCGCTGGTTATATCTCCCGTTGAGCACATCCTCGGTGTTTCTTCTTATGTAACAAATCGTACATTGTATATATGTTCATTATTACACATGATGGTCAAGACTTGCGAGTCACGATGTGTGGAGGCAACACCTTCCTAAATGGTAATGAGAGTAAAGTAACCTTGTTCACTTTCCTACTGTTATACATAGCTAAAGAAAATTGTGTTCTAAGTAACACCAATTTTTAAAAGCATAGCTCTTATACATATTGCGATGATCCAGACAATTACTATATTGTTACATGTAACTTATATCGATAGATGCCATGAATGATAATCTCCTGCATTATTCAATTCCCGACAAAGATTTGGCCCAACAGAGGGATACAATGGGTTTTGAATGTCACAGTGACAGTTTTACAGTAGAGAAGTAAAGCAATATTAAAAGTTGAAAATGCAAAATATACATAATTCATTACAAATTCAGACTCGAGTATCCTATTAAACCAGATTTCGCTACTTACATTACAAGTTTTTGAAGCACCCCAGACCGAAGTTATCAAGAGTGCAGTTGATATCAGAAGAATATCACGGCTCTCAAGCATCAATCTTCTCCATCTCTCTTCTCAACCCATACGCTCTCACCAAACTCCCTACTGTCCTCACTGCAAGCTTCAAGTCATCCAATGGATTCCCAGGAACCACAGTCTTATACAAGTAACTGTCAAAAGTCATCTTCTGGACATATTCATCCGCACACATCTCCACAAATGCTTCCCTAGCAGGATTCGAGCGGTAAAACACCTTCTGCAGCACATCCAACACCTTGTAAGTAGGCCAGTACTTCTTGTCCCACTTCTGCAAGTACTTTCTCAAGTCTCCTTCATCAACCAATCTCTTTCCATTCTCAGAACCCTCCACAATCGCCTCTGCACACATCCTTCCGCTCTTGGCTGCAAAGTATATCCCCTCACCTGAGCATTTTGTCACATACCCTGCAGCATCCCCAACCAATGCTACTCGCCCTTGAACACGTTTTGGGCGAGGGTGCTCAGGGATGGGGTGAGCTTCCACTCGGATGATCTTGCCCCCCTCAATCTTGTCCATGGCTCGTGTTCTTGTTGCTGATTGGAACTTCTTGATGTCCGACTTGTGGGTCACAGTCCCTGTGCCGACTGCTACGTGGTCACACTTGGGGAATACCCAACCATAGAAGTCTGGTGAGACATCATCCCCTACATACATTTCAGCTAGGTCCTCATAATAGGTCATCTTTGAGTCAGGTATCCGGATACGTTCCTGTAAATGATGAAATCGTATATACTTGTAAGTCAAATTTGTCTTAGAAAGTTTATACCTGCTATTGAATCATCATTTTGCAATCAATTAGATGTATCAGCAAGCTGTCCAAACAGAACATTTATATCATGACAAAGAAATTTAAGTTCAGGGTTCAAGACATCTCTTCTTGTAATGAGTTTAAGATCATCGTTACTCCATCAAATTAGTAAAGTACCACTTTCTTTAATCAATCTAAGCTATTTAGCTCAGATAATTGTTTCTATGATGTGAAAATCCTGAAAGAACAGCATTTTAGTCAATAACTAATCACATTTTCTTGTTCAATAAATGGAGATAAAATGCAATTGGTTACCAAAATTGATCACGACAACATGATACTTAACGTTACCTTCCATATTATCATGGGTAGATTATCCATAATTACCATCCACCAACAACTAATTATGTACTTTGTAATTTTCTTAATGCATATTATAACCAACTTACGTGGTTAGGCCTTAGTTAATAGCAACAAATATTTTCAACAATTATGCTAACAACTAACAAGAGTAACAACCGAGATTGAGGGATAGCTCGGTTGGTTAGAACTTCCCTCCTAACCAGAGTAACAACTAGGGATGGCAATGGGTCGGATCTTTCGCTCGATTAAGAACGTCTCGATCCCTCCTTTTGACAACTACAAGTACTTATTTTTCATGTCATTCCCATATCAGGTCAATTGATTTCAGGTCAAATCCAAATCGAGCAAACCAATATAACTGAATACGATAAGAATTGAATCCAATAAAATACTACCTGAAAGGCAATAGCATATTCGTAATCACCAGCAGAAATAGACTTAGCAACCCTGGAATTAGCCCCATCAGCACCAATCACAGCATCCACTTCCAAAGTCCGCTTCTCACCAGCTCCGCCCGTCTTACCATCATAAGCCGTGTAATGCAGCTGGTAAGGAGCATCGGACGATTTTGGCATATCCATTTTCAAGAACAACCCATTGATAACTGTGGCACCGGACTCGGTCGCCCTCTCACGAAGGTAAGCATCAAGAACCTCTCGCCGCACCATACCAATGTACTCGTGCGGCTTAAGGGTACGACCAATGTCAACTGCCACATTTGAGGGTGAAATCATCTTCATTTTTGTCACTTTTCTGTCTATTATGTCTAATGGTAGGTCGAATTCTCCTACCATACATAATGGTATTGCTCCACCACATGGCTTGCAGTTGTCCATCTTTCGCTCGATTAAGAACGTCTCGATCCCTCCTTTTGCTAGTGTCTCCGCTGCACACCCTCCTGCTGGTCCACCCCCTATCACCGCCACCCGCAGGTTGCGCCCTGACAGCTGTTTAGAGCTAACCCATTAGTCAAAATCATCTCAACCAAAAGCTTAAACTAATTATTGAGACCGTTGGTTAAGGGACAAAAATATGTTCTATATTCTATCAATCTTTACAATAATTAACCAATAATGTCTAGACGACACATTGGCAAAGATTGAGAGCATATGTATAATATGTCACATGTACAAGTTATGTTCATTTGGACTAAAATAAATCAATCCTGGGTTTCAACTATCCGTTCGTATATTTTATTTACAGGATAAATTAATTTACTAGATAACATGGAAATGCATAGTCTATTTCTACTGTGGAAATGTGACAAATTATGCGGAACATTCTAAAACAGGATACGTGACTATTAATTATTGACGGAAAGGAGTAAGAGAAATGACAAGATTACCTTGGGGCTAGTGATGCTAGCCTTGATTTTAGGGGAAATCTTGATGGATTTGAAGGAGGTGGTTTCATGGGTGGTGGAAGGTGTTGATTGGCGGAGGCCGGTGAAGGGCTTGAAAGCCATAGAGGAAGCCATTGGATGTTTGAGGCGGAGAGACAAAGAAAGAGAGTTGTGAGACCAAAGTTAGAAGTTTTTTTTTTTTAATTTTAAGTTAGTTTGTATTACTAGTGATATTTTTGTGATTAGGATATGGTTGGGGATATAAGTGGGGTAGAGGACCGTTGGATTGAGGGGAATGGAGGGTGAGGATTGATTTGGGAGATTTTGGTGATGGGTTGTAGAAAAGTGTACGTTGCTAGATTTCCTTAGTTTGGGATGGTTGATATTTGGCCACGTTAGTAGAGGTACTTGTATGAGCTCTGCAATTTGTCCATTGTTTACATATGTGTATTCACCAATGCATGATTGCCACGTGTTAGGTGACATTCTTCTCTTATTTTCACCAAAAACAAAATTCAATATTTCCCCTTCAAAGAAGAATAAATAAATAAGGATATGTTTTATTCCGATTATTTTCAGTTCAGTTCAGTTCAACTCCAATAAGTTATGTTCGGTTCTTAATTTTTGTCTCTCATAAAATATTCAGTTCAATTCATTTTACTTCAGTTCAGTATATTTCCATTAAATTCAATTCAAATCAATCAAAACAAAAAATAATGTTGAAAATATAAATCTAACCCTTTTTCACTCATAAAAAATTTATTGAATTATAGTTTTTCCGTTCATCTATTTTATCACTTTGATTATCAAACGGACTAACATGACCCTAATAGGAGCCATAACCTCTCTATTCCACCCGCCCCACCATTTCGCATAGGTGTAGGAGCTAACCACTTTTATTTAACATTAACATATGTTTCTATTCACCCGATTTTCATTGGTATGAACTTATCTGAACTTATCTGAACCTATCTGAACTTATTAGACCTTATTAAAAACTTATTTTAGTTGTATTTTGTACTTGAGTAACCCTTATTAGAACTTATTAAATCTAATCTGAACTTATCAAAACTTAACTGAATTTATCTGAACTTATTACACCTAAAATAAGTTAAAACAAGGTGAATAGAACAGACCCTAACTCGTATCTATTATGTGTAATGAATATGATACGTTTTATTAAAATAACAAAAACGTCTGAGCCACAAACTAATTAGTTAATAAAATAACATAATTACTAAGGAAACCTTCATCATTGAGAGTTTATAGCAAAAATTAAAATCAAGTCTAAAAATTCAAATAGTTTGTTGTCATTACTTCTAATTGTAATCACAACTATAAAGTCAAAGAGTTTGTTATTAGTTTTTAGTGTTGATTATTAGAGTTGATTAACGTGGTGATTGTAAAGTGATGATGTTACAATAATATGAAATTTTTTCTGTGGAGGCGGATGCACCATGCTTGGTGCATCCAGTGTTCTTTAAAAAAAGGTGGAATGAACATTTAGCTATTCAGTAAAGAACATATAGTTGTTTTGTAAAAAACATATAGCTATTTTATAAAAAACATATAGCTATTTTATAAAGAACATCCAGTTTTATATGTTTTTTTGTAAATATAAAGAACATTTGTAATATTAGTAAAGAACATGATAATATTAAAGAACATTATTCATATAGTAAATGTACATTTCGTATAAATGATCATGTATGTATATGAAAATGTACATTTTATTGTATTATAATGTACATTGTATAATATTCTAATGAACATATATGTTATAATGTTGGTTACATGTTTTATGTACATTGTATTATTTGCATCATATAAGTATATGAAAAAAGAACATTTTACTGTATTTTAATGTATATTGTATTATTTGGATCTACAACTTTTTCTAAATTTGTCTATTTGCTTGCTTTCTTCTTCCAAAATATATTAATCGGTTTATCTTTTTCAAGAATTTAATTTTATTTCTCATTGCAACAATAAAATTATATCAAAATCGCCATTAATTTTCAATCAAATCAAATATTACAATTTTCAATCAAATTTATAAAAACAAACACTCAAACTCAAAATAAACAAGCATGAATGTCAAATAAACAAGTATAAATGTCGAATTTGGTCTTACCTTTCGTTTTTATTTGTCATCTTGAACAATTTTGGGCTCAAAATTTCGAATTTCTTGAAATTTTGTTTGAGGTTTGAGGACGGAATTTAAATGGGTTTGAAGAGAGAAAGTGAACTTTTGGTAAAAAAAAAATTGAAATGATTTGTAATTAATGTATGGTGAAAAAATTTAATTATAGTACTATTTATCTATTTCATTATACAAAATTTCTTTTAAAAAAAATATATATACAAAATTGTTGCATAAAAAACTGATGTACATTACAAATGAACACTGTGTTCTTTTATGTATATGTCCATGTACATTATAAATGACTAATATGTTCTTTTATATGACCATGTTCATTAGTATATATATGAATGTTCATTCCGCCTTTTTGTATTTTGGAGCGGATGCACCATGTGGATCGTGCATCCGCCTCCACGAACCAAGTATTAACAATAATATCACATAAATAATATATTTAATTAATGTCATGAATACACACTAAAAAACTACTCAGTACAAAAAGGTATTTTTCTTGTTGTGCCATCGAAACATCTACACCTCCAGCAAACAATTTTACAAATGAAATTTGCAAATAAACTTATTTTGGTATTTTCTTTACCCCATATTAGATTTTAAATTTTATATGTGGCTGGCCACATGATCACATGGTGTGGCCAGTCCGTTTCATATAACGGACTCCGTTATATCAAACGGGTCCGTTATTTTAAATTAAAAAAAAAAAACTTGTCTTTCTTTTTTTTCATTTTATTACATCAAAAGGTTCTTTTTTCCCAAAGTTTCTCATTTTCTCTGTTTTCATTTTCTCTCTCCTCAAACTATTCTTCTTCCATTTTCTCTCTCCTCAAATTCTTCTCCTCAAATTCTCTCTCCTCTAAATTGTCTTTTCGTTGATAATGACTAAAATCAAGATAATCTTCCCCAAGGGAAAGAAAGGATCGACATATACGCTGAACTCTCCTACTTCTGATATAAATCAAACCCTAATTTTAGTAATTTTTCGATTTTCCTGTCATCTATGCTCTGCAATTTGAACAAGCATCGTGAGATTGTTTTTGGTGGTGTGAAAGAATTCGTGAGTAGAAATCAAGCAATTTATGAAGAATTACTGGAGAATGAAAAGAAAAAAAAGGCAGATGAAATGGAGCCTGCTAAGAAGATGCTGGAGGAGCTTGCTAATGTAGAAGATAGAACAATAGTTACTTTTTTCATTATGTAGGGATTACTTTTAAAAATTACAGTGTACTTGTTTTAGGGGTTGCTCGTTGGTTTTATAGGGAGGGTTTACTTGTTGATTTTACAAGGGTTATTTGTAAAGTTTTAGGGGGTTATTACTTGTTACTTGTAGTTTATTAGGAGTTACTTGTTAGTTTTACATAATTTTTTGTTAAGTTAGAGGGGTTACTTGTTAATTTTTGTTAAGTTTCATGTGTTACTTGTTAGTTTTATAGGGGTTACTTGTTATTTTTAGGATTTACTTGTTAATTTTTGTTAGGGTTACTTGTTTATTTTAATGGTTACTTGTTAGTTTAACAGGGGTTACTTGTTAATTTTTGTTAGGGTTACTTGTTATTTTCGGGGTTACTTGTTAATTTTTGATAGGGTTACTTTTTTATTTTAGAGGTTACTTGTTAATTTTATAGGGGTTACTTGTTAATTTTTGTTAGGGTTACTTATTTATTTTAGGGGTTACTTGTTAATTTTTGTTAGGGTTACTTGTTAATTTTTGTTAGGGTTACTTGTTAATTTTATAGGGGTTACTTGTTAATTTTTGTTAGGGTTACTTGTTTATTTTAGGGGTTACTTGTTAATTATTGTTAGGGTTACTTGTTTAATTTAGGGGTTACTTGTTAATTTTTGTTAGAGTTACTTGTTAATTTTACAGGGGTTACATGTTAATTTTTGTTAGGGTTGCTTGTTTATTTTAGGGGTTACTTGTTAATTATTGTTAGGGTTACTTGTTTATTTTAGGGGTTACTTGTTAGTTTAACAGTGGTTACTTGTTAATTTTATAGGGGTTACTTGTTAATTTTTGTTAGGGTTACTTGTTTATTTTAGGGGTTACTTGTTTATTTTAGGGGTTACTTGTTAATTTTTGTTAGGGTTACTTGTTTATTTTAGGGGTTACTTGTTAATTTTTGTTATGGTTACTTGTTTACTTTACGGGTTACTTGTTAGTTTAACAGGGGTTACTTGTTAGTTTAACAGGGTTTACTTGTTAATTTTTGTTAGGGTTACTTGTTTATTTTAGGGGTTACTTGTTAGTTTAACAGGGGTTACTTGTTAATTTTACAGGGGTTAGTTATTAGTTTTACAGGGGTTACATGTTAATTTTACAGGGGTTACTTGTTAATTTCTTCAATTTCATTGTATCTGTTTTCATCTTCTAGATCCAATACCTGATTACTGGTTTGGATTTCAAAATTCATCAAAATGAACAATACAAGAGGGGGGGTGAATTGTATTGTAGAGGAACTAGGGTAATTTTTGCGGAATTTATAAAGGAACTTGAATAAAAACTAAAAGTGCAAAGAGAGATTTTACGTGGAAAACTTCTTGGCCCTAATCAAGAAGAAAAACCACGACCACAAGGGATTTTAAACACAATTCTTAATAATAATAGGGCAAACACCCTATTACAAATTAAGACTCTAAACTCAAGTTCCTCTATGAACTTAAGCTCCCTTCAACTGATCCCTCAATCAGTGGAACTCTCAAACACTCTCTCTTTCTCCTTGCTTCACTCAAAGCAATAAAACACTCTTAGAGTTTTCCCAAACTCTAACCCAATACAACTCAAAGATTAAACTCTAAATTGCTAAGTACAAAGACACTCAAGGACTTAGGTGGATTATGACTATTTTAAAAGCTAAAAGACTGTAATGCTCAAGTGTGTTTTTCCAACTGAAAACCAAGGCTATTTATAAAAGAGTTTGGCAGTTAAATCGTAGTTGCCTTAATCACCACTTAATCACAACTTCCTTAAACGAAGGAAATGCAATTCGTGGATGCTTGGGCAGCAAGCTGAGCACATTACAAGGAAGTGGTTTACTGCTTCCTATTTTCTCTCAACTTCCTTGACCAAGTAAAACAGCCGTTTATAAAGAATTTTTTTCAAATTAGATTTTCCAAAATAATAGGATAGAATTAAAACAGAAAATCTTTTTAACTAACAAGATATTTTAACTCAAAAGATATTTTTCGAAATAAAATTAAAACAAGTTAAAATAAAA